CCAATCCTGATGCACGTTTTTCTTCACAGAACCCAGCTTCTCGGATTATTTGCTCAGCATACAGGTGGAATAAATATGGTGAAAGAAAACAACCTTGTTGCATACCTTTCTTAATTTTAAACCATTCAGTGTTCCCATTCAGAAGACATAGGTGAGTTTAAAAAAAAAAAAAAAAAAACTTGTTATTCCTTCTCCATGTGTGGCTCACATATTTTGAGTTAATCAGGCTTACCCAAGGTGGACATGCAACTGAAGAACAGGTGACTGAAACAGACTTTGTACAAAGCAGTGCAGAGCTCAAGCTTGGCTTTCCACTCCAGCAGCCCTTCCCTGTACCGTTCCTCCTGCTCGTGACTCCAGAGCTAAATCCTGTCTCTGCTCTCTCCTGCTGAGTCAGAGCAAGGCTATGCTCCCACCAGCTCTCATCTGGAGAAAGCTTCTCTCCACTCCTGTTCACTGCAAAGGTCAACTCCAAAAATGATCACAAATTAAGAGTTCATGTCCTGTGAACACTCATTAATCAAGCACGTTCAGAGAAACACTTACTGCAAAGTCACATCCAGTGCTCTTTTTGATGTCATCCACCGTCAGACCTTCCCAGAGTTCAATCAGAGTCAGCCCTTTCTTTTTGTCCACATCAAACACAGCCTGCCAGAATCAAAAAAGAAAAAAGAAAGAAAAGAAAATGATAATTTTCTTCACAATGATTATTCTATAACACAAACCAGAAATATCTTCTCAAGTTCTTAAAAGACAGACAAGACCCAGGACAAAAGGGCCTACAAGCCAGCAATGGGAAAATGTCCACAGTAACTATTATACTTTGGTGAGAACTGAAAACTCCTTAATAAGCAATTGATGTGGAACACTGTTGATGCCAGGAAACAAACGAGTGACAACTACTGATGGCATGTGCTATTATTTTAGCCAGTTTGTGATTTTTTAAGTGCTGTCAAGTTGGTTATGACTCATAGTGACCCTGTATAGGGTTTCCAGGGCCTTAAATCTTCATGGAAGTAGAAATCCTTATCTTTCATAAATGCTGCAGAGAAAGCAAGCTCTCAACAGTGGCAAACGTATTACAAAAGCACTGCTGTTCTAGTCCTAAAGACACCAGGTAATTGTTAAATATTTCCCTGTAAGCCCCGTGAAAACAAAAGCCCTGACAGGGTACCTCATATGTTTTGTAAATTAAAAGATGATGCTTTTGTTAAGAGATGTATGAGAAAACTGACCTCACTTTAAACATTACAGTACAACTAGATAGCAATATCCTGTGATGGTATTGCCAGCTGATAATGCTTGATTCAGCAAGTAGACTCAGCATGTTGTACCTGAATTAAAACACAGGCTTTCCCAGGTGAAATATAACTTCTTGAGTGGAAGCTACCACTCAAGTCACTTCGCATAACCTCCCACCCAAGAATTTTTCAAGACATTCTTCTCAAATGGTCATTTGAGCTGACTTATTTCAAGGCATACTTGCCTCTGGATGGGACACAAACAGATTTAACTCCCTGGCTTCAGAGCCAGCCTCCCGTGTTCTGCCTGCCAGCTTTCATGGTCCTTTCCTCTTTCTTAGACTTAAATATGATGCTTCCCAGATCTCTTCAGTCTTCTGGCTTTACCTGAAATTCACCTATTATTTGTAGGTTTCAGATCTTTATTTTCATCTACTTTGGAAATTCAATCCTAAATTGTCATTTTCAAATACATCCCTACTTAGGAGACAAATATCAAGACAGAGCAAGGTGTAGGGTGAGGAGCCCTGGTTTTGAAGCTGGAATTCTGGCACTTCTGCCATGTGCTAGTTGTGTAGACTTTGATGGCCATCTACCAAGGGATATCATAAAGTCCTATGGATCAAATATAATAGCAAACATACTCCAAACACGCAGCACAATGCATACAGCAGGGACAAAAAACTCTCTTTTCTTCTTAGTCACTTCACTTCGTCACTTGTGTGTGAAATCAGATTTTGAAAACACTTATTTTCTTCAGTTTTTGATGTATATTTTTCCCCAATAGTGAAACATTAGAGGATCAGTAATACCTGTACCCACTCTTTGTTCTATGGTTTAAGAGGAAACATCTTAGCAAACTCGTTTTTTTAATCTGCGCATTTTTTGTTTGCAGAAAATACGTCAGGCACACTATTCATACTGATTAGCTTTTCCCTGCATTATGAACAATTGTGTAGTCACAAAACTGGAACAAAAAGAGAAAGAAGAACCTCTGGATGATGATATTAACAACAGGCAAGAAGGGGATTTGGGGCGAAGATATCATGAGTATAAAGTTTCAATAAGTAAGGAGACAGACTCTATGGCAAATTGATTTATTGCTTTTTAAAGTTTTATTATCATCTTTATCAAGCCCTAATTACCTCCAAATTTCATATATTGGAAAGTTAAGCACTTATTATTTTAAAAGAAGGAAATCTACTTTTGAAAATTTTACAAAGATTTCCATTTACTGGCTTAAGGTATAAACAAAAATTTGATAAAAATCTAAACTAAAACTTTACATTTTATATTGCTAAAAGTAATAATGAAGCTACATTTGATTTTACAGATGAATAAGTTAATTTATCACCACCATAAAAGGTTATATATAGTGGATAAAGTAGTTAATCATAGCCCAGATGCTGCTGAGGAAAGTTCTTTCATAACTTTCTTTTGTTGTTGTTAAGTGCCATCAAGTCAGATCTGACTCATAGCGACCCTGTATATGGTTTCTGAGGAGTAGCTGGTGAGTCGAACTACCGGCTATGTGGTTCAAACTGACCTTGTGGTACAGAGTTTATCCCACAGCGCCACACCAGGACCCCTTTGTATTAGCAACAGCAAAATAGGAACACTCATAGTCTAAGGCTTCTCCAAGTCTATCTGACAACTACACTGGTCTTCCTTTCAATGATTTTGAGCTTTTGTTGCACATTTTTCTCCTACTCTATCCAGGACTTTCTATTGTAATCCATTTCAGAATGACCAGCAGTTGTAGCTGGGCACCATCTAGATCTTCTGGAGGTTGAGGTCACACCCTTCAAACCTGGAAGTGGATTCTCCTCTCATGGATCAACTTTCTGCCAAACGATAAGCCTATGATGTGAGCCCCTCCCTAGAACAATCAACTGTGTGAGACCCAAAGGGCAGCATTTGCCCAGAAATAAAGGCCTGAAGGTAGGAAGGAGTGGGAAACAAGGACAAATGGAAATGGGAAACACAGGGAGGAAGTGAATTGAAGGCTATTACATTGTGGGGCTAGCAGTCAAAGTCATAAAGCCAAATATGCATCAATTATTGAGTGGAAAATCAATGTGCTGTCTAAATTTTCACTCAAATCACAATGTTGTTGTTGTTGTTGTTAAGTGCCGTCGAGTCAGTTCTGACCCATAGCGACCCTGTACAGGGTTTCCGAGGGTGTAAATCTTTATGGGAGTAGAAAGCCTCATCTTTCTCCCACGGAGAAGCTGGTAGTTTCGAACCGCTGACCTTAAGGTTCGCAGCCCGATTTGTAACCACTATGCTACCAGAGCTCCTCAAATCACAATAAGCTGTTTAAAAGAGCAAAAGCAAAAGAAAATTCGGGTCATAACATTTTCCAACACCTCCTTTTATCTCAAATTGAATTTTCATGGAATTCTAGCCCCTGATCAGGTAGGAGCCCTAGTGGAACAGTAGGATAAGTATTGGACTGCTAACCTCAAGAACACATGTTCAAATCCACCGGTTGCTCTGCAGGAGAAAGATGAGGCAGTCTGCTCCTGTAATGATCTGTAGTCTTGGAAACCCTGAATAGGTCACTCTGAGTCAGAAAAGGAGGAAGACCCACAAGGAGATGGTTTGCCACAGTAGCAGCAGCGAAGAGTTCAAACATAACAGCAATTGTGAAGACAGTGCAGAAGCCGGCCATGTTTCTTTCTGTTGTTTCAGGGTCATCACAAGTCAAATTGACTTGATAGCCCCTCACAAGTGGTCTGAATATGCACTAGGGAAACAGGTTTTGGGTTTTTGTTTTTTTATTTGCTAGTGTTAAGGAGATTTGGTGTCCCAGCAGTTTGAATCCACCAGGCACTCCAGGGGTAAAAGCTGTGACAAGTCTGCGTTAGTAAAGATTTACCGTCTTGAAAACATTATGAGGCTGCATTACTTTGTCCTGTAGGGTCACTAGGAGTTGGAACTGACTGGGCAGTAGTGGGTTTGGATTGGTTGGGATCTACAGTGGCAGGGCTGAAACATGTATGACCCTTAGTGTTGCTGCAGTTTCAGCCACACATTCAACAAAAGTACAGAGTCCAGTGATAAACATAACTATTCCTAACTTTGAGCTCCTCCAAGTTCCATGTTTACCGGCTCTTCTCTTTAGTCAGTTTTATAATACAATGGCATCTACAGCTAAGGTTCCAATTGTTCCCACATGCTAATGACCTAACCAAGTTTGTTCCAATACTGACTACTTTTCTTATTTTCTGGCACCATATCAGACAATGTTCTGTTGCTATTCAGAAGGTTTTCACTGACCAATTTTTTCAGAAGTAGATCAGCTGGTCCTTTTTCTCAGTCTATCTTGGTCCGGAAGTGTTGCTGAAACCTCATGTAACTGAACTGGTATTTGATATGTTGAGAACTTCCACACAAGCCACCACAGGACAACAAACTGAAAAGCTAGTGGTGGTTAAGAACATGGCTAGTTTTCCCATTCTGTCTATTCAAAGATGAATCCTATGCCTACCATCAAGAGTTCTAACGGTGTAGTGGGTTAAGCATCAGGCTGTTAACTGAAAGGCTGGCAGTTGGAACCCACCATCAGCTCTGTGGGAGAAAAACGAGGCCATATGCTTCTGTGGAGATTTATAGCCTTGGAAACCCTCTGAAGTTTTACTGTGTTTTATAGGGTCTCTATGAGTTGGAATCGACTTGATAGCAGTGGGTTCACATCTATCACTGCAAAGCACTTTTATTGGTAACAAACAATTCTAAAAATGCTTATAAATAAAAAGACGGTGGTAGATATTATAGGAAATAAAAAGAAAGAGGCGCTTTACCTTTTCAGTAATGATTCGGTTGACACATTGTTTCCCAGTCAGCGGTAATGTACATTTCTCCATTATTTTATGTGCATTTCCCTGTTTTAAAGAAGAAATATCAGAAAGAGCAGTCAGGGACACCTCTTATTTGAACTGATATCACATGAGAAAAAGAGAAGCAATCAGAGAAGTTGTCTCTAAGTCCATGCTATTTCAAGGTCTTTGTACAGTCATGCCTTTGCGCATTTTCCGGAGGCAGCTTCTCTGCTCTTGAAATAAGTGAGGGAAAATGCCAACTTAATAGCCTAAAGCATACATTATTTAGGCAGAAAACACCCTGCTACAAATGTGACCACTCAAGCCTCGATCCTCATAGCAGCTGATGGAAAACTTCACTTCCAATATCTTGCATGCTTTTCTCTTCTCCTTATTTGGTCACTTTGACAAAGCATACATGGAACATACACATACAATTTCTCTTTTTAAAATAAACAAATTTTTATTTTATTTTAATGGAATCCTTGTGTGGTGTACAAGATGAGCACTGGGCTGCTAACCTCAAGGTCAATGGTTTAAACCCACCAGCTGCTCCTTAGAAACCCTTTCCAGGGTCGCTGGCACTTAACAATAACAACAACAATCTTAAATGTTAAAAAAAAATAGTAATATACACACAAATCAATACCAATGCGCTCCAAGTTGATTCACTCCCAGACCTGCAATTACTGTTAAGTGCCGTTGAGTGGATTCCTACTCATAGCTATCCTGTGTAGAATTTCCAAGAAGCAGCCAGTGAGTTTGAACCACCGATCTTGCAATTCAAACCGACCTTACGATCCAGTGCTGATCCTACAACTCCACATCAGATCGGCAATTAACAGGAATCAATTTCCACTTTTTTTTTGTTTGTATTTTCCTTATTATATTGTTCAGGTTATTAAAATCCTTTATTTACATCCTTATTTATTTACTCTCTACTGTTAAAGATGATAGGATACATTGATACATTTCTAATAATTTTATTTTGTTTTTTAAAAAAAACATTTTATCTCATGCTTCTCTACATTTCATGTCTACATTTCAAAATGTTATGTTTGTGCTTGGTAGGTACTGTAGAGTCAGTTCTGACTCACAGTGACACTATGCACAACAGAATAAAACACTGTCCAGTCCTGCAGCAGCCTCACAATTATTGCTACGTTTGAGCCCTTGTTTTTCCTGTGTCAGTGCATCTCACTGGGGGATCTTCCTATTTACACTGAAACTTCATTTTACCAAGCATGATGTCCTTCTCTGGGAACTGGTCCCTACTGATAACATGTCCAAAGTATGAGAGATAATGTCTTACCATTCTGGCTTTTAAGAAGTATTCTGGCTGTACTCTTCCAAGACAGATTTGTTTGTTCTTTCAGCAGTCATGTTACTTTTAATATTTTCTCCAGAGTCATAATTCAAATGCATCAATTCTTCTATAGTATTCCTTATTCATTGTCTTACTAATTTTCTTCAACTTCAGTATGAACTTGCATATGAGCAATTGATAGTCTCTTCCATTGTCTCCCCCTGGTCTTGTTTTGGCTGATGACACGGAGCTTTTCCACTGTCTCTTTCCACAGATGTGGTCAATTTGATTCCACTTGGTGAGGTGCATGTGGATAGTCCTCTTCTACGTTGTTAAAATAAGGTATTTACAATGATTAAGTCATTGTGACAAAATTCTATCACTGGATCTCCAACATCGTTTCTAACATCCAAGCCATATTTTCCAACCGCTCATCCTTCCACTTATTTCCCAACCTTTGCATTCCAATCACCAGTAATTATCAATACATCTTGATTGCATGTTCTATCAATTTCAAACTGAAGAACTTAGTAGATTTTTCAATTTCATCATCACTGACTTTAGTGGTTGGTATGTACATTTGAATAATAGTGGGATGAGCTGGTCTTCCTTGTAGGTGTATGGATATTATCCTTTCACAGAGAGGGATGTACTTTAAGATAGATCTTGATATGTTCTTTTGATGATGAGTGTGACGCCACTGTGCTTCTATATGTCATTCTTGGCTTATTAAGCCATGTGATGGTTAGATTCAAAATGGCTATACCAGTCTATTTCAGCTCATGAATGCCTAGGATATTGATCTTTATGCATTTCATTTAACTTTTGACTAGTTACAAATTTCCTGGTATCATACATTTTACAATCCATGTTCTGATTCTTAGTGGATATTTACAGCTGTTTCTCTTCATTTTGAATTGTGCCACATAAGCAAATGAAGGTACCAAAGACTATATTCAATTAACAGCATTGCAATCAACTTTATCTTGAGGAAGGAGCTCTACCCCAATCGTATTTTGAGTGCCTTCCAAACTGAGGAGCTCATCTTCTGGCACTATGTTGTTGTCAGGTGCCATCGAGTCGGAATCGACTCATAGCGACCCCATGCACAGCAGAACGAAACAATGTCCGATCCTGGGCCAACTTCACTACCGCCGCCACACCTGAGTCCATCAATGATGCCACCTGGCTGATCCATCTCGTTGGGGGTCTTCCTCTTCTTCTCTGACCCTCCACCCTACCCAGCATGACATCCTTCTCCAACGATTGTTTCCTCCGGACAATATGTCCAAAGTAGGAGAGACGAAGCTTAGCCATCCTGGCCTCCAAGGAGCACTCTGGCTGCACTTCTTCCAAAACAGATCTATTGGTTCTCTTGGCAGTCCATGGCACTTTCAGTATTCTCCTCCAACACCACAACTCAAAGGCATCAATTCTACGATCCTCCTTATTCACTGTCCAGCTTTCACATCCATATGAGGCTATTGAAAACACAATGGCCTGGGTCAGGCGCACCCTAGTCCTCAAGCTGACATCTCTGCTCTTCTGGCACTATATCTGACAGTATTACGGTGCTCTTCATCATGTTTCAGTATTCAACATTCTGGTGCTGACAGTATTCCATTGCTATTCATAAGGTTTTCAGTGACTAAATATTCAGAATTAGTTTGTCTGTCCTTCATATTCTGTCTTCATCTGGAAAGTCAGCTGAGACCTATCTGCTGTGGGTGAAGCTACTGGTATTTAAAATACCTGTGGCATAGCTTCCAGAATCACAGCAGCACACAAACCACCAAAGTACAACAAACTGTCAGATGAGTAGTGGATTTTGTCCATAGAATCCTTCAATATTGCAAGTCAAGGCTTGAATTTTGTCTTCAACTCTTTTATCTCGAGAAACACTGAGAATGATTTTTCCTTTTTGCTTTTCTAATTCCAGGTCTTTGTATCTTTCATTATAATACTTGATTTTGTATTTTCTAGCTGCCCTATACATTTTTCTGTTTATCTCTTAAACTTCTCCATTCCTTCCATTCACTTTAGCTTTTCTACACAGCAGAGCATGTTTCAAAGTCTCTTCTGACATCAATTTTGGTCTTTCTTACCTATATTTTAAATGATTCATTCCTTTTCTTTCTGTATGATAGTCTTCATGTCATCCTTACAACTCTTTTGGTCATTGATGTCTAATGCATCAAATCTGTTCTTAAGATAGTCTCTAAATTCAGATGGGTCAAATTCAAGGTCATATTTAGCTCTTGCGGACTTGTTTCAACTTTCTTCAGCTTCAACTTGAACTTGCATATGAGCAATTGATGATCTATTCCACAGTCTGCCCCTGGTCTTGGTTTGACTGATGATATTGAGCTTGTTCACCTTTTCCCACAGGTGTAGTCAATTTGATTTCTGTTCATTCCATCTGGTGAGGTCCATGTATAGAGTTACCTTTTATGTTCTTGAATCTGGAAAGTTGAGGATCAGCAAAAAAGCAAAAGACCCCCAATGAGATGGGGCTCATCTTCTGGCACTATATCTGACAATATTCTGCTGCCATTCATGAGGTTTTCAGTATTTAACCATTCAGAAGTAGTTTGCCTCTCCTTCTAACTTGTCTTTGTCTGTAAGTGACACTAAAACCTGTCTACCATGGGTGACCCTGCTGACATTTAAAATACCAGTGGCGTAGCTTCCAGCACACAGCAACACACAAGCCAAGCCACTGCAGTACAACGAACTGGCAAACCAGAGGTGTAAATATTATGCTTAGCATTCCTTTTTTACTTGATGAGTCTATTTTACACATTATCTACAAGTTTCTTATTATGGCAAAGATAATAAGGATTTAGCTGTTAGACACCCACTCTTCTTGTTCCCCTTTGTCATCTTCAATTCTCTCAGTATAGCTATGTCACAATGGGTAGTTTGCTACAACAATCAGAATTTAGATCACTCTGATTAACTGACCATGTAAAGCTGTTCATTCTTGGTACATGTAGCTCAATATTGTATGATTATATTCACTTTCATATACAAATATTTTAAGCCTCAGTTTGCACTTAGTAAACGAGTGCACTGGTCTAAATCCGAATGTTGAGTTTTTAGCTACTGTGCCCTTTCTTCAAAAATAAAGTAAATGAGGAATTATGAGTGGAAACCAGATTTTTATCCATTAGCCCATACATTTTCTTCTCATATCTGCATATTTTAAAATAGTATGCTTACCATGCTCTTTATTTCTTGATTAATCACTTTAGACATTATCTACTAATTTCTTATTGTGATCGCAGAGGATTTCTCTCTTACATAATCCCAGGATCCTTTCTCATCTTCAATTTCCTCACTAGCACTTCCTGCCACACCTCCTACTATAGAAGCAACCACAGAGGTCTTTCTGTTGGACATAGCTGGAATGAACTCACCTTCAAATAGTTTTCTTCTGATTATAATTAAGTTCCTTTCTAAGAATCAAATGCCAGGAATCTACCCTAATATTTCCCTTGAGACTGAAAGATAACTTAGCCCATTATGTATCTTCTTGTAATGTGACAGAATGTATTTATTGCTTCCTTTTGTATCCTAAAGCACCAAACAAGATGTAATCATCATCATTATCCATCTCAATGTTTTACCTGGTTTGTAACTCTTCCCTAACTCAGTGTCAGAACAAGCATATGGTCAAAGGTGAGGAATTTTAGAGAACTGGGTGTAACTATTTAACACGATAATACTCTGTATATCAACTTACAAGTGCACCAAT